TGGTGAGACGTAAGACTCACCTTTGAGTTAACCATGTAGTAACAACTGTAGTGCTGTGAAATTGATGTAAAAAACTTTACCACTGACATGTTACATATTGTCATTTATTATCTTCCTCTGGCTCTTTTCATCCAAGCCCTCACAGTAGGTGCTTTCAATAGCTCTCATCCCTCCTCTCCTCGCCATTCCTAAATGATTTACTGGTCATTTTCCTCATTTTCTCTTAGGCCAACTAAGAGAAACGATGCTATCATTGGCAAAACCAAAGTAAGAATTTGTACCTCTAAGCCATCTAGCCAATAGCTTATGATGCCCATTCCAACTGCAGTTTTCTAATACTATAAAGACAGTAATTAGAGAAGGTTCATGAAATTACTTTCAAGGAAATCAGGGAGAAGTGGTTATTTAGTGTACCCCCTGGGAATTCTGAGAGGGAAAGAGTAAATAAATAGAGAGGGTAGGGGATTATAACCAGAAAATATGATGGGGAGAAAACAGGAGACCCATCAGTTGCCTCATCTATGATTAAGAGAAATTAGGTTTTTAAAAAAAAAAAACTGTACACTAGAGAAATGTAGAAACTCAGCCTGGGCTACAACCATCTAGGTCATCCTATGGGAATGGCTTCTGAAACACCCCAGCAAATGCTTATGCAACCTTCACTTGAATGAAAATATCACTAAGGGCTCAATATCTCTCAGGAAAGCTCATTGAAGTTTCAGATTCCTTTAATCAGACACAAATATTTGCAAAAATTGGGGAAAGATTTTACTAATTTGTGGCTATGTTACGCTGGGTGTGATGGCACATGCCTGTAATCTCAGCATTCAGGAGGCTGAGGCAGGAGGATTGCCATGAATCTGAGGCCAGCCTGGGCTACATAGAGAGTTCAAAGCCAGCCTGACCTACATAGCAAGACCCTGTCTCAAAAAACAAAACAAAGCAAAACAAAAAGTTATCAGGCATGACGGCACACTTCTGTAATCCTAGCTACTTGGGAGACTGAGGCCGAGGCTTCTAAGTTTGAGGCCCGCCTGGACAACTTAGTGAGACCCTATTTCAAAAAATAAAATGGCTAGAGATGTAGCTCAGTCGTAGAGTAACCCTAGGTTTGATCCCAAATACTAAAAAAAAAAAATTGACTTTTCAGCTCAATTCTGCCACTATTTATGTGATACTGGGAAGGCGCTCATTATTTCTGGAACTTGATTTCTTCCATGTGTAGAATGAAGGGCTTAGATTTTGTCAAATGACCCTTCTAACACTGACAAATTCTTCTTGATATACTTTCATCCTTCACTTCGCAGAACAACCCTTGTTTTCATTTGGAGTTCTGGAAATTCTTCAGTGAATAAAGAATATCTTTTTTTTTTCTCTTTCCTGTTTCTCTTAATTCTAATTGCCATGAATATATTTATTTAAATTAGAGTATATGGACTGAAATCCATATAAAGTGAAAAAACTTTAATAGCTTAGAACTTATAGTTCTTTTCCTTACAAAAAGAAAACAAAACTAGGATCATAATGGTGAAGAAAAAGCATACAAGGCTGGGAGTGTATGTAGCTCAGTGCAGAGCAGAAGGAAAAGGAGAAGCAGCACACAGGATATCCAGCCCAGCCTCCTACCTGTGGAGAAAGAGAATCCTTTAGGCTTCACCTTCTAGTTTCTGCCTAAACTTTTCCAGTGTAAAGGCGCTTAGTGTTTTGTGGACTTAACATATTCTATAGTTGGATAGGAGGAATCCAAACGTTATTACAAAATCTGCTTCCCTGGGACCATCCTAACATCTGTGGCATGGCAGAATAGAGATACCCCTTGATTCTTAGTATCTCTGCAACCATCCAAATGCAACTACCATATCTAAACTCTTCCCCTCTCCCCAAAGCTTTCCTCCTCTCCGCTAAAAAGCTGAGAGTTCTTTGTTATTTCTAAGAGTTCTTTGTTATGGGCACACCCATAACTATCCAGGTTCCTATGTGCTGAATAAATTTTACCTTGTCAACATCCTTTTTAAAATTTCATGCCAAAAATGTGACATAAATACATATAAATGCTTCAACTAGCAAATTATTTTTGCATGTAGAGAAGTACTTCAGGAAGACCAAGGAGTCACTGCTTCAACTAAATGTTTATTGCACGATTCTCTTAGCACCAGAAAGCATCCTGCTTGCTCTGCCTCTCCACGTCTTTATCTAATTATAAAATACATCCACAAGAGCAAGTCCTCGTCTCTTGAAGCCGTGTCATGGATTCTGATCAAGCATTTCTTAGTGTCACTGTCAGCTATTACTGTGCTGGATGGCTCTTGTCCATTCCTTATGTGCTTGTGTCATGTGGATGGAAATATTACCAAGAGTCCCTCTCTGAGCATCTATGAAGTCCATCAGAGACAGAGCATTGGGAACAAATGGGGGAAAGTAAATATGTTACACATTTGGGGTTAGATATGGGATGACTTGCCTACCTTGGCTATCTGAAGATGTTTTTATATGTTCAAAATTAGATCTCTGTGTGTTTCTCTATATCATAATAAGCATAGTTTTGTCAAATCTTCACCACCAAGTGAAAGTGAGTTGAGGCAAAAGCCTCTGTAATTCAGACAAAAATACCTTTTCAGCGTATGGAGGCTTTGATCAGTGCTGAAGGCCAAAAACAAGTAGTACTGTCATGTTACATTAAATTGAGACTAAATTGTGTCTATCCTCTGTTGCCATCACTAACCTCTTGTATTAAAAAAAAAAAAAAAAAAAAAAGAGGAAATGGAGAACTGCTATTGGATTGTTTACCACCAATTTCAGAGGCTTTTTTTTATTTATGAGAAAACTGTACCACAGTTCACACGGCCAGTGCTGCAGTACTTAGCTTTCTCTTTCCCATCAATTCTGGCCAGGAATAGCTGTAAAGAGAGGACCAGAGTGAGAGGGACTAAGTATCTCCCTCTTCTTAGTGCTCAGGTAATGAATCAGACCCAGAGTCCCTGGGCTCCCGGACTGGTTCTGTCTCCAGTCAGGTAGAGCTGTGCTTATGCTAATCGTGTTTCCCATTTACCTTCTTGTTCAAGACAAAAGCTCATGAAATGCATTTACCCTCCTCTGATAGACACAGAATAAACCCTGATGTGTTGTAAGGGCAGGAGAAGGAAAAGAAATTCATGAAAGTTTTAAGTTTGTGTTCACCATCTAATTAACACGGAAATGCTATCCAACAGTATTTCTCCTCATTTTAAGGATTTTTCTCAAATCCTATTAGGAGTTGTTCTTCCTGGGATTAGAATTTGAGATTTTCCCCCTTGGCTCCATTTTCTTCTCTAGTAATATCTACTTTCCATTCCAGGTCACCAGTACATTCTTATGGACAAATCACTTTTCCCCGCTTCTCCCTAACCAAGCCTTTCCTCTTGCTCTAAAACATCTGCAGTAAGTTCCTAGATTAAAATGGTAGTGTCTGGCTGAGGATACGACTCAGTAATAAAGCATTTACCTAGCAAGGCTGAGGCCCCGGGAAGCCCCAGCATCACTAAAGAAAAAAACGAACAGATATTGTCTTCATCTGAACAGAGAGGAAGAGGAGAAATGTGAGCCTAAATATGCCTTTAATAGTCCATGTACACAGCCTAATGAAATGAGCGGCATTCTTATAAAGTGGCAGAGGAGGAAGATGTCAACGGATGCATTGTTACCAGAAAAGTAAATTGTGAGAAAAAAGAACAAGAAATCAGAAGAGAGATTTTTATCCACCTTTAGCTACCAGCCGCCCCGGATTTCGTGGATGAATCTTTCAATCTTCCCCAGCCTCAATCTCCTGCTCCATGAAAGGGAAGCACACTGGCCCCCCCTGGCTCACAAGCTCATTGATTACTGAACACTTGAAAAGGTAACACAGTACAATGCTGATGTTTTAAAGTACTTTTGCCTTCAAGTGAGGCAACTGGGCAAAGCCCTCACTCTGGCAGTCACATTCACCTCAGGTAATGTTTTCTCAGTAAGCCCATTGTTTAAAAAAAAGAAAAGAAAAAAAACTTACTGCTACATTCATAGAATCATAGACCTCAGACCGAGAAGGATATTTGGGATTCACCTCCTCATCGGGGAGATAGGCAAACAGGAAGATTAACGGTAACCCAGCTCACACCACTGTGCTCTATCAGACTATTATTTACCACTGGAACCCACGGGTGACATTTCCACCTATCCACACACTCTTTTACAGCTTCCCTGGGCTCACGAAACCAGAAGCCAAAATAAGATCAGAAGCTGAGGTCGCCCCGGGCACAGCTGCTATATTTGATAAGTGTATTGAGTATGCAGTGTCGTCACACAATTTGTTAGCATGATTTCAAGTTCCAAATATCAGTACATCCCTGTCCAGCATTCCCGAACGACAAAAATATCATTTGTTAGGACCTTTTCCACATAGGTGGGACTCAAAACCATCAGTGAAACAGAAAAATCAGAGTCTGGGATGGTTAAGGAAAGCCAAATTCATCTCTGCCGGAAATAGGAGGTGAGAGGCGCGTGGGAGGACGTGGTAACAAACGGTTCCCGGAAATGCGCGTCGCCCCCAGTTTTGCCCGGAAAGCCCTTTATCTAAAGAGTGTGCAAGCCCAGTTAGAGAACAGGAGACCTCCCACGGGAAAAAGAGAAGGGTTAACGCGCAGGGCAATCAGATCCCCGCCCAACTTCAATGGTCCCAAACAAGTGCGCGCCCAAAGCCCGGTCGGCCTCAGCAGTCAAGCTGGTTAATCGATTTCGTCATTAGTTTTAACCGTGCTAAAATTCTGTGCTCCCTAAAATGCACCGAGGATGAGCACTTCCACACACAACCCGAGCAACACTCACTTGCAAAATATCAGTAGCCAGTGGGGCATAGAAGAGTTGTGGGACAGGAGCGCAACAAGTTCGGGAAGCAGAAAATTGCTCTACACATTTTTCTCTGCCCAAATTTCCCTCCGCGCGAGCGAGCGCCGCCCCACACGGAGGAGGGAGGACGAAAAAGACATCTACACCCGGGGCCACCAGCTCAGGAACCGTGCCAGGAAGCACATCTGTGAGCTCTGGACCAGGAGCGGGGCCGGAGAGGATGGAAGCGCCGTCCAGAGGAGGGAGTCGCCTCGGCCTTGGAGTCCGAGACGGGTGAGGAGGGCCCAGGATGCGCTCGAGGCTGGCGACCCGCAGCGCGCGTCGGTCCCGGCCCCGACGGCTCGAGGATCAGGTTGCGAATCCCCGCTGGGCCCCAGGCCCCGAACTCCTGGTCTCCGCCTGCGACCAGCTGAGCTGCTTAAGGAAGGGTGAAGAGTCCGGGCGGAGGAGCCGCAGAGCCCGCACCTCTGAGGCAGGCGGAGCCGGGTTCCGCGTTCGTGGCCGAGGGAACCGAGCCCCACCGCCCCGGCTCGGAGCGACAGCACGCGGGGCCCAGGTCCCCAGGCGCCGCGCCCCGGGCGCACCGCAGCTGCCCGGGCAGGGACAGGCAGGGACAGGGCAGGACCACGCGAGGCCGGGGCGCCGGCCGCGCGGACTCCACGCCTGCTGAGGGTGGACAAGGAGGGTTTGTCGTCTTCCAGGAGCTGATCCGAGGTCCGAGCCCCAGTCTTCGGTCTGGGAGAGAACCGTGCCGGGCCCGCGGTCTGCTCTCCCGCCTCCCTCCCCAGCCTGGAGCCTCAGAGCCCGTGCGGCCCCGAGCTGAGCTCGCCCTCTTCCCCGATGTCCACCTCGTCCTCTGGCTCGGTGAGCACGAAGGAGCCGGCGGGCAGGCTCAGCCGAGGCTCGGCGACGGCGGCCTCGGGCCCGCGGGGACTGCCCTCGGGGCTCTCGGGCGCTTCCGGCGCTTTGGGCTCATCCTGACTTTTCCTCAGCTGCTTTTTATGCTTCATCCGCCGGTTCTGGAACCACGTCTTCACCTGGTTTGGGGGAGACACCGACAAAATCACGTCATTCTTCCAGACCCATAGTACTGAGACCTGAGCGAATGCTGGGGTTTAAGGAGAATGTCCTGCAATCTACAGATGAATTATCCAAGAGCCGAGGTCGCCTCACTCTTGGATTAAATCACATGAAGGGCTCACAAATGACAGTCTTAGGCTGAACTAGAATCGAACATCCTAAGACTCCTAGGAGTAATTGTCCCAAAATAATGATGAGGATCAAAATGGCGTGGTTAGTAATCACCGATACTGTTATTAAATAGAATTCTTAATATAAATACTACGTGAAAGAGTCGCCCCTATGCACCTCGTGTTCCTGTGATGGAGGCGTCTAAATACCTAGTTCAGCAGGACCCCTGCACAGGAAGGTGAGGATTGAATTCGCTGATTTTCATTGGGGTGAAAATCAGACTTAGTGCACTAATGATCTCACAGCAAGCTCTTTTTCTGGGCAAAGGATAAGAGGCAAAGGGCGTAGAGAAAGGAGCTGGGTGGCAGGTGAACAGTGCCTGGAGCATGACTGAAATATTCCACTCCGAGCAGGGGACAGGGAGGCGGCCGAAGCTGACCCTGGCGTGTGTGCGGAGGGGGTGCGCGTGAGGGCCGGCAGTCGTGAGTGAAAGAGGAGTTCGGGGCCTCGTGGGGTGGGGTTGGGGGCTGAGGGAGAACCCGAGAACTGGTCTAATCTCTTGTTAGTTTACCTCTGATCCGGGTTACATCCTCGGTGGGAGCGGAATAAAGGAGTAGAAATAATAGTTCCGAATCCCGAAGTGATCATTAAAATCACCCGAGGAAGCTTTCCTCCTTGTAGAGCCTCGCTGGAGAAATTTTGTTTCAGAAGGTTAACGTGAGACTGGGCTGTCGGTACTTTTAGGAAGGGTTTTGGGATAAGCCTAGAAAAGGGAGGAGCGGGGCCTTTCTCAAGGAGAGTTCCTCAGTGGTCTGTGCGGTGTTCAGAGTGAAGAGGAGAGAAGAAGGAAGCGGAAATCGGGGGTCCCCCTCCTCGCCCACCTGCGTCTCGGACAGGCTGAGGGCGGTGGCCAGCTCCACCCGCTCGGGCGTGGACAGGTAGCGCTGGATCTCAAACCTCTTCTCTAAGCCGGAGAGCTGCGAGTCAGAAAAAACCGTGCGAGCTTTGCGGCGGCGGCAGTGCTTCCCCGGCAGCTCCGCGTGCTGCGGGTGCGGGAACAGCGCGGGGACCGGCACTCCTACGGAGAGAAGAGCAGCCCGGTGGGCAGAGTATGGGTCGCCAGGAAGGAACCTCGCCCCACTCCACTGCCCACCGCCAGGACCCAGCGCTTCCGGCGGAGCCCAGCGCCTCCCTGAGCGTTGGCCTCTGGCCTCCACCGCTCTCCGCCCTCTCCAAAGGCCCCAGAACACTTCTCCCGAGAATCCCAGGACAGGACGGGGAAAGCTGTAAAACTGCGCTTAGAGATCTTTTTTCCAGAAGGCCATCTAGAAACACATAATAAAGAGCAAGTAAAGTGGAAAAGAAAATTAGAAGACAGACCCAGGGGACTTTCAAAAACTATCTTCAGTCGGGGGCACCCCTTAATCTCAGCACTTGGGAGACTGAAGCAGGCAGGATCTCCTCAAGTTCAAGGTCAGCCTGGACTACAGTGAGACCCTGCCTCAAAAACCAAAAAAATAAAACAAATCTCCTTGGAGGTCTGCGGGGCTTGATGTGCCCAGTCTTTTGTTGTGCCTCTTGAAGTTTTCGTGCCAGTATCAGGGTGAGGAGGCTGTCCACCCTGCTCTGTCCAGACCCCCGATGACACGCAGTGCTCTGCTGAATCCAGCAGGAGAGAAGAGAGATGATCTTGCTCTCTGCGCTCACTTTAAAAACACCGTTCTTTTCCCCCAGCTGCCCTAGCCCCAGCTTTCTGCAAAAGAAAACGGCAGAATTCTTATCCAGAGAAGCTGCGGAGCCCCCTCTCACGTTTCCTTTTCAGAATCATACTGGGTACTTGCTCTCTAAGCTGGTCCTCATTCTTTCCCTCTGACTCCAAGCCCAGGGAGGCTGAAAGGCTGAAATGAAGCCTTTTCCCTGGCTAGGTCACGATAAATTTCTCTTGTGTTTCCGAAGTCTCCCCCGCTTTGCTCAGTGTCTGAGATGAACCAAGCTAGCGGAGGCTGCCACAGGCTCTCATATCGGTCAATGGTGTGTGGGGGGGACGACAAAAACAGCGGTAACAGATGAGTAATTTGGCCATTGCTACATCTGACTGACATCAGTGCAATGGAGAAAAGACTGTCACTAACCGGGTGGTGAAGCCAGTGAGAGATGCAGACCTCAACCCAGGCTTTTAATCCACTCTCCAACGCAGTGGCCCAGTGTCCAGCTTACACTGCTTCGTAAATACTTTCAGCTAGACTACTTTTAGAACCTAGTTTTCCTACATTTCACAGGTTGAGTCCTGTCTTCTCCCAGCTCCTGTCCCTTACCAGAGTTCTTTTCATTGCTTCCCTCAGCAACCGACTGAACAAATTACTCCATTCTATTCTGGCTGGAATAAAAGTGCTAGGGGAAGCATGAATGTGACCTTTCCAAGAAAGATAGTTAAAAAAAAAAAAAACTAGGTATTTCCTTGCCTGTCAATGTCCCACACTTCGATAGTGCACACTCCCTTAGCACCTGCTTCCAGAGATTTTGGCAACTGGGGCAGAGAAGGGCAGCCCAGCCTAAGATCGTGAGTTAAAATACAAAACTTTGGAAGTGAAGGGAGCTAAAGAGTGCATCTCTTTCTTTTTGTTGTCTCCGTTTGTTTATCTGTTACCCCTTTGCTCTTGTTTTGGCAGTCCAGACCTTTTTCCTCAGATTATCCCAAAGCCTATGCCCTTCACAGGCTTCCCAAGTGCTCAGCCCTGGAAGAAGAGAACTGGCCAGGCAGAGCGTTCCCAGCTTCTGACCTGGAAAGTTGAGTTGAGTCCTAGGATGGGGTAGTCAAGGGTCTCTCTGTGAGTGGGGAGGTGCTAAGAATCAGAATCGGGACTGAGAGGTAAACCTAAATGGCCAGGAAGGTCACTGACAAGACTGACCATTGCCCCTTTAAGAATACTGCCAAACCCATCCACCTCCAGCTGCTTCTTGGCCAGACACATCCGTACAAAAAGTATGGAGTGACTACGGATATTTTGACACGCTTCAAGGAAGCTCTGCGTGCTCTGGGCCATACCCTGAACGTGCTACTGTCACTTAAAGAGGGATGCCACCGCACCAGGCCAAGACAGATCTGGTGTTTCCTTCACTCCATCACAGGCTTAATGTCTGTGCTAGAAAAGCTACTTCCTCCCTTCCAACACCTTGAGGGCCCTGCTACTTACCCGAAGTGGTGAGAAAATAAGGGTGGTGGTGGTCTCCCTTATGCAGAGGGTGATGGGCGTGAGGAGCCAAGAGGGTGGGTGTGGGCATGAGTGGGTAGCCATAGTCTAGTAGAGGTACCCGAGAGGCCAGAGAGCTGGCGAAATGGTCGGGGGCCACCTCCCTCAGCGGCTTGGGCTTGTGCAACAGGATGTCCTCGATGAAGAACGATGTGGGCCTCTGAGAAGACGCCGGATGTAGAGGGGAGGTGAAGTTGAGATTCATCTTGAGCGGAGCGCCTGCCACAGGACGCGGGCCGGGAACGAAGTGTAGGAAGCTGGCAGCGTCTCCAGCAAGCCTGCTCGAGAGCCGACAACCACTCTTGGAGGCTCAGATCGCTACTGCTCTCTCCTCGGCCTGGGCTATCCCGGCGCTGGAGAGGAGAGAGGCGAGAAGACGAGCTTCTGGGTAGGTTGGGTCTATGTGTTAGAGAAGCAGCAGCTTCGAGAGGGGAGCCGGGAGAGCCAATGGCAAGGCTGCCAGAGGCAGAGGGGAGGGTGCGGTGGGCTTGGGGCGGGGCGGGGATCTGTCCGCGGTGCTGAAGGCGCCTGGCCAAGCCTGGAGAGAGCGGCGCCAACAGGGTTGGAGCTCCTACTAGGGCGCTGGACCTCAGTTTCTGTCCCTCCACTGCAAGAGATTTTGTCCCCACTTGTTTTAAAAGGAAACTAACTGGGAAAAGTCTCTGTTGTCCGACAAACTCCTTCTTAGAAGACGCTAAACCGGGCCTCATAGCAATAGGGAGAAAGCACTTGTTCAGGCGTTTGGGCCTACATTTTTAAGAGTTTCTATAACTGATAGCAGAAGGAGGTAAGGAAGGGAGTAGGAGGAGTGCCCACTACTTATGTAGCTAGATTCTGCTTAAGTGGACGGGAGGGGTTACTGGATTCTTGAAGTAAATTTTAAAAATCAGTGAGGATCATAACATTCTTTCCCTGTGACAGGGGATGGGTGGGAGGAGATTTATATCTACGTCAGTCAAGTGATTTGGTCATTTTAAATTTATCCACAGCCACCTTCATGCTGTCCTCCATGCTCCCTCCAAGGTCCATTTCTTCCCATTTCATTCAAATGGTTCCCTCATTCTGCTGCACCACTCCTTTCATTCCCACCTCCCTAAATATTTGCTCTAGGTTTTATCTCCGCTTCCTTTGCCCAGCTTCTTTCCTTTCATTTCCCTCCCTCTCCAATCTTTCATTTTTTTTTTCCTGTTTGTCTTTTTCTAATCTGTCACATTTATTCTTGGGAGTCAATTTGCTAAAATTAAGGTGATCATCTACAACATGGCAGGGGTAATTTTGGCTTACATTTCTGAAAATTGCTCTAATTATTGATGTTAAACTCAGGGAAATTAAAAGAAGCCACTTTCTCTTCCATCTCCCCATTTTTAAGCTCTAATTTGTTGAAATCTAGTCATCATCACAATTCCAATCACTACTGCTAATAGCAAAAGTGTTTTAATAGAGACTGAGTCCTCACAACCCATGCTATTAGATAATTAGAGGAGGTGTTAGAAAGCCAAGTACTAATCCTTGGGTGAGGGGTAGGATTTCCATCTGATCTAGCAGGTAGAACAAATTAATTACCAGAGTCAATTAGGCCCCAAACTACAGTGCTCCAGGAAGTGGAAGCGTCCTATTCCATACAGCTGAACTGGGAAATGGTAAATAGAAGTGGAAGGAGAAAGCAAGATGGGGAAGATTTTAAAATAAGCTCCTGGCAAGTAGGCATCTAAATGAAGCTTTGCCTTGGAGTCTGAAATATGATTTAGAAAGAAGAGCTTATAATGGCGAGAACTGAAGACTGGGGAGGAGGTGGACGCAGACAAGGGAGACAGTAGACTTGCCAGTGGCTGTTCCCTAGCTCTTAGCCCTGGTCCAGTCCTCTTCTTCAAGGCTGAGGGGGAGGCAGAGGCTGGTGAAGAAGATCTGGGACAACAGGCCACAGCACAGATGTCCTCCCAACCCCGCTGTGAGCTTCGGTCCTCTGATCCCAGCAAGTGTAACCCAAGCTATATTGTTTCCCGATACCCCAAGACTGAGTGGCTAGCGAGGACCAGGGCAGGCATACAACCAGGCTCTGGCTTGTGCCTGCACCCACCCTTCATTTGGGTCCCACGCCGAGACCACGGATTGGCACCCAGTAGGATTTTAGCTTCTTTTGGGGCGGGGAGTAACTTCTGCAGCAGAAGCAGACAGGAAGAGATTATTGAAGTCCCTTCGGGAACAGGAGCAGTAACAACGTCTTTGGATGCTATTCTCAGCCAAAGCACTGCAAACCCTCCTTTACGCAGCTCCCAGAGCGCTGCGGGGTGGGGTGGGGTCGGGGGAGGAAAGGGGAGTGAGTGGTGGTCTGCCCACGTCCTCTCATTAGTATACCCCGAGCTCAGCTCTTGCGCCCCAAAAAGCTAAAGCTGTCTCTCAAGTCCCTGGCGCCCGACCGCGAAGTCCGTACGGAGACAGGCTTTTCTGAGAGCCGAGCGACCGAGGGAAGCTCGAAGGCGTTTTCCTCTTGAATCCAGCTGCCCCACCTTTGCCTAAGCCGCAGTTGGAGCCAAAGAAGTGAAAGAGGGCGGGAGGAAAGTGGGTCGCTACCGAAAGGGGCAGGACCGAGACAGCGCAGGCGTTTCCTTGTCCCTCCCTTCCAGCGAAGCAGGGAAACAAAGCTCGCGGAACAAGAGCACGGCCACAGCGGCCAGACCAAAGCGGGTCCCCGGCGGCTCGCAGGAGGAAGCCGGCACTCCTAGAGCGGCGTCAAGGGAGAGTCTTCAGCCGGACGGGGGTGGGAAGGCAGAGAGAGAGAAACAGAGAGAGAGA